GCCGTGGTCCTTGAGGTGCTCCGTTTAAGGCGTGAGGTGGCCCCTGTAGGCCTTAGTGACATGTCTGTTGTGCCTGCCGCAGATTCGGCTACCTCCAGAAGTTAATCGGATCCTGTATATAAGGAACTTGCCCTACAAAATCACGGCAGAGGAGATGTATGATATTTTTGGGAAGTACGGACCGATCCGACAAATCAGAGTGTAAGTACTGCAGTTTACTTTGAGAAGTTAAGATTTATATGCGTCTTAGAATATTCATTGCATGTCACGGTTCCTGTTATAGCAGGCTACAATTGGGTTTTACATCTGAAAAATAGTAAGTTCAAGGCACTTTAGCTGTAGCCCTGTGTCTCAAAGTTGTATGCATTGATTTTCTCTTATATGCAAATGTCATTGGAAAACAACATTGCCAGTAAACAAATGAAAAAGCTTAAATTGCATGTGAAAGCAGGTAACTGGATAAAGATAAAAAGGCACTCTCTCCTTTGGAGAAATGGAAGTCATTTAATTTCAAAGACCATCACTTCTTCCTTTTGTTGTCCAAGCAAGAAATCGTGTTATTATAGTACTGTGAAAATCTATTTTCTGCTTATAGATACCATTATTACTTTAATAGGAACCATAGTATGAACCAGAAATCTTTTACAGTAGGTACTAAGCAAATTTGTAATGAAAAGAGACCCATGTTTAAGTAACATCCTATCCTGCAAAGGAAGGGCAAAGGTTGAATGCAGCCAGTTTTCTAATTTAATAAATACTAGATGCTAACCTTAAAAAAAAAAAAAAAAATAGCACCTGTTACTACTGCATCTGAAGCTGTCTCCCCAGAGCTAATACAGGACTCCCTGTGCACCAGATACTGCTTGTCCCCAAGCCATATAGTCTGTGGATAATAAAGAATTGACTGTAATAATAATACTTTATTTTAAATAATGCACCGAGGTTATACAAGCCTATACCAAATCTGAGGTTCTTCTCTTTAGTTCCTTCAAATACTGAAGATCTGAGCTCTGAAGTTCCTTGTTTTTTGAGTACTGCCAAATTTACTTTGACTTAAACCCCAATTTCATCAGGTGAATGTTTTGTTCTAATAAGTTTCAGGCAGAAAGAGTTGGCTGAAGCTGGAATTTTGGAATAGCTACTGAGAACTGTAGTAAGATTAGTTGGAGTATTGATACTGATACAAAAGCTTTTTTATTCTGAAAAGTATATAGAAAGGGAAGAAAGGGCACAAAATTTGATGCGTCTTTTTAATACTTAAAAAGTATTAAAAAGAAAACATTATGAACCAGACTTCTTCAGATGTACAAACAGAACGGAAATGTAGCCCATATTTGGTAAGCTTTTTGTACTGCTTTTATCCTGCTGTTGCAAAATTAACTACAGCATCATGTGTTTATCCAGGTCAGTAGAGCAGAATGTATCCTTGTGGCTGATATCGCTCTCCGTTTCCCCTGCTCTGAGAGTGGGAGTAGGCAGTTAATCCACAATGTTTAGTAGTTTTGACTATGCAGGATATAAATGCAGAATCAGTTAAACAAATCAAGCTTTACTATCCCAAGTAGAGATGGTTATTTCAGTCAGAGCTGTAGGAATTAAAAATAATTGTCCAGTGTATAGAACAAAGTATGTCTTCAGCAAACAAACATGCAGAACAGAGAGGAAAATACACTCGAGTGCTGCGTTGGAACATATAGCTAGTTAGAACTTTCTAACATACCGAAGAGCAAAAAAGTGACTGGGAAGTGGTTGAAGGGACAAGGGGTAGAAGAATTTGTTGCTTGGCTAAATAGGTGGGATTCTTCGCTAGTAGGCATAAATTGACAAAGGAGAGCT